TTAAGACCGCTTCAAGACTCCTGGGAAACAAATCTCTGTCACTCTAGAGTCGCCTTTAGCAGGCTAGCAGGGAAACCGCACAGGATGAGGCGAACGCTAAGGCCACAGGCTCCGCCCCTTCCCAGGTCCCGCCCACTACGTGAGGTGAGAAAGGAAGAGAGCTTCCGGTCTCCTGATTTACTCTAATCTCGCGAGAAGAGACGACGGTTACCAGTGACTCAGCGGTGGCGGTGGTGAGGGACGGGGTGTAGCCGGGAGCGCGAAATCCCGAGAGTAGGGAAGAGGGGGCGGGGTCGCGCTCACCCGGCTTAGGCATGCACGGGTGGCCACGGGAGAAGTAGGTAGAAGCCGGCTGCGTGGAGCCGCCGAGGCTCCTCGCTCGCGCGTGGCGGACCCCGGGGACGCACGGTTACCTGGCCGGCCCGGGTCGGCGCTGTGCTTCAGGTAGGAGCCTGGGATTTTGCGCTCGCGCAGCCGCGAGGGCCGGGCTTCGCCGAATCGCCCGCGATGACCGGACGCCGGGCGTGCCCACCTGCCCGCGAGACGACAGCCCTGCCCTTGCTCCCGTGCCCGTGGGGCTGGGCCGGGCCGAGCTGGCCCCGTAGATAGGGTGGTGAGCTGCCCGGCGGGATGGGTGGGCCTGGGCGGGGGCACACTTGGGCTCTGTGTGCTCCCCAGCTGAGGGGACACCCTGACTCGTGGGTCCACTTGCTTCTAAGCCGTCGGAGGGGACGCTCCCCATTGCGGCCAGTGTGGGAAGTTGAGTCTTCTGGCGTAGTGGTTTATGATTTTTGTTAACTAGTTGGAAGGCAGACTGAGTCCTGGCTGTTAGAGAGCAGCAGTAGCTTTTACCGGGAGTTTAATTGCATGGAGGTAGATTTTTGCAATACCGTCCAGTAGACTCAGCAGAGTTCTGCTTAAAGAGTTTAGTAAGTCTTTCACTCAGTAATTTTGCAAATACTGTTGCGGTGAAAGCGTTGTCCTCTCTCACACCAGTGATAATTTTTCAGGCATAATGCTTATGAAAGCTACTGTAGAGGAGGATGATTCAGGATGGGAGCTCAGTGTTCCTGAGAAAATGGAAAAAAGCAATACGAGCTGGGTGGACATAACCCAAGATTTTGAAGAAGCTTGTCGAGGTAAGTTTGAATTTTTGGACACATTCAAAAAAATCATGATTGTGGTTTCTCAGCTTATCTTGATCAGTAGAAAAAACAAATCAAAACAAAACGACTAGTAACTGTCATTAATCAAGTTTGTGATGGGTTTTATTTTATTTTTTTGAACCAAGGTCTAGTGTAGTCCAGGTTGACTAGGAACTCTTCAAGTGGCCAAGGATGACCTTGAACTCCTGATCAAGTCTGTACCTCCTAAGTGCTGGGATTACAAGTAGGGACCACCATGCCCAGCTCCTGTTTGTTAACTACACTTTTCTCTGCCCTCAATTTTAAAGCCAATGTGTACATTTGGTAAATAATTAAGTGCAGGCCAAATGTGATGGTACACGCCTTTAATTCCAGTACTCTAGAGGCAGTGGCAGAGGCAGAGGCAGATCTCTGTGAGTTCAAGTCCAACCTGGTCTACAGAACCAGTGAGTTCCAGGCCAGCTGGGACTACAGGATGAATGATCAATGGAACCTGTCTCATTTTTTTTAAAAAAAGAAGTTAAATGCAGATGTTGAGACACTTTTAAAAAATATTGTGTGTGTGTGTGTCTGTCTGTCTGTCTGTCTGTCTGTAAGTATACGTACCCAGGTATGAAGGTGCACATACCTCTATGCATACACCTGTGTGCATGTGCAAACCAGAACAGGGCCTATGATCCCTTGGAGCTGGAGCTGTAGTTATGGGCATTTTTGGGGAAGCCTCGGTTGTGCTGGGAGCTGGTCATTAGAATTGCACATCATGTGTCTTAACTGTGGAACTGACTTGTTTCTTCAGCTTTGTGGTTCTGTTTTCTTCTAAATTCTCCTAACTTTTTAATAGGCTAGAAAATACATGATGGCCAGGCGTGGTGATGCAAGCCTTTAATCCCAGGATGGCAGAGGCAGGTGGATCTTTTGAGTTCAAGGCCAACCTGATCTATATAGTGAGACCCTGTCCCCTCTCTTACTCCCTGCAAAAAGAAAAGAAAATAGCATGACAATAATTTCTTACTGTAGAAACACTAATTGTATTGAGCCAAAGAATGTTTGCATGTTTGAGGGTTGAAAATAGTTGCATCCTGTTTCCTTCTTACGATCCTCTAGTGACTTCCTATTGGGAAAATAAAATCGTGATTCCTTCCCCATGATTTTAAAAGATCTGGTCCCTGCCTACTCTCACACTTTATTTTTGTATCATTGCTCTATCCTTTTCAGTCACCCTTACCTCATTAAACACACACGATGCCTTGCCAGGACCTTTGTGACTTTTGTTTACTCTATTTTAAGTTACTTTGCATCAGGCCTTCACATGGTCGAATCACTTTTTGTGCTTTTTATGTACTGTTCCCAGTGAGGACTTCAGAACAACTTTAAGGAAATTCACCCCCTATTCTCATCTCTAACTTTCCCTCTACTGAATCACCACCACCTTGTGTTTTCTTCAGCTCGCTTATGTTTGTATAGCTATAACTATAATTATTTCTTGCCTATTGTCACCCTTACCCACCGTATGTTTGGCAAGGATAGAGATCACGTGTATAATCCTAGAATATAGAGCAGTGTGTGGCACATAGTAAGTTCATTAATTTTGGGGGAATAATGGTCTTGGTGGCACATACCTGTAGTACTAATACTCAGAAGTTTGAGGCAGGTGGATCACTTTAAGGCCTGGAGTATAAGACCATCCTGGGAAATAGAAGAGCCCCCCCCCCCAGTACAAAAAATAAGCATCTCCCCTGCCCCTAGCAATGAATGTTTAGAAATAAGTGATTAGAGAGGACGAATAAGAGGAAGAAACAGATAATAGAGCTTGAATTTGTAAAAGAGGATGGGTGTAAGACCAGGCTAGTG